TGGCTGCCACCAACCATGGCTGCCACCTCCCATGGCTGCCACCGTCCATTTGTGTCCACACACATAACACTTTCCTCCATTGAGCCATTGATTTCTAGCTTTTAAGATAATTCAACAGTCAGAATGTGAATGATTCTTTTCAGGGATCTTTGCACTATGGATGACTCCAGCTCCTCAAGTGAATAGAATACTCTGCTTTATGTGGACAATACAAGTGGCACCGCATCTTAGTTCATGTGTCCACATGTTGTACATTCAAGATTAAAATTGGCAGCCTTTTTTTTATGATGAGAAATTTAATAATATATATATATATGAGGGGCAAAAATAATTAATGTAAAAAGTTATGTAAAAGTTTTACAATAAAATATATATTTTATTCTTATTTAATATTCATAAGTATATTTTTTATATAAATTTTAACCATCCTTGTAAGAGCATTGGACAGGCCATTCTTTTCCCACCCGAAACCTGAAAAGTGACAAATCCTGTAACCCTTCTCAAAAAAAAGTCCGTGCAGAACGATGGGATGTGCTGTAAAAGCAAAGATCAAAACATTATATACATTCTTTACAAATGAAATCTGGATTATTTTAAACCATCCAGTCCAAGGGCTGACCAGAAGAAACCCCCTCCCCTGTATACATAGGATGGTCGCAAGACAACCTGGAAAAAAGGATTATCAGACCTGAACATGGGAGCTGCACGAATTGTCCTTACCTTTTCTTCCGGTGTTCCAGCTCTCCACCTCCTTGTCACAGTTTCAGAAGCGATTTTTGCACGGGCCGACTTTAGTTTCACATTCTGGTTGTTTAGTGACTCATGTTCATCAACATCTTCAACAAACTTGTAATGTGAAAGTGATTTGAGAACATATCATAAAGAGGAAATGCAAGTTACAACGCTTACTAGTTTCAATCATCCGTTTGCTTCGTCTGGTCTTTTCTGCTATGCCTGAGATAAGGGATCTAACTCCATCCTCAGTACTCGTAAGCTCCCTCCCATCTAATTGTGTACCTATGTCTCGAGAAGATGAGAGATTTTTCTCTCAAACTGTATGCATCCGTCCTTGCATGTGGCTTTTCTAGACTAGCAGTGCATGTAGATTGAACCCAGATGGAATGGACATGTTTATTAAATTCTCGCTTGTTATCGAGGAAAGGGATTAGAACATGGAGGTCTGAAACCCAAGATTTTTCAAGGCCATCATCTTCCTCATGGGGTAATAGACTTGGATATTCATGATTGGATTCTCGCAACCTACCAAGAGTATTACACGGATTCTTTATCTCTGAAACCGTCAAATCAAGCATATGAACATTGAAGTTTGAAGTTGATTTCTCTTCATACATGAAGACCAGGAAATGCCCAACACCAATGGAGAAGCATTCCACAAATTCATGCCAACCCTTGTGAAACCATAACTTGTTAACTTTTTGCAGTTCCACTAGACAGACACGACCACAGGGGACAGCGACTGTTGCAATAGAAGAAAGTTCATCTCCATATTTGTTAACCAAACTTTTTTGCTATCTTCTGTTGGCATAAGCAATTAAGTCACATTTCGAAACAAAGACACCATCTTTCAAGACAGTCGAGGCACTTTCTTTCAAGTCAAACAAAGCATTGAATCTTCTGGTGCACTAAACAAGAGCAAACCACAGAAAATACTTTAAAATGGAAAAACAAACAAGAAATTAAGGCTAAGGAAAACCAAAGAGAAATGAGAAATAACACCATTCAAGGCCAAATACAGAAGAATCATGCAGAAGAAAGACCCATCAAGCAAAAGATGATCAACAACTCAAACTATATGTCAAAACAATCTGAAAACAGTACAGACATTAGCAGTAAGCATTTCCAACTCTTTCTTCAACCTTCCCAAACCAATAGTCAACAAATTCGAAAAGTTTCAACTCCCATAAGGGCAGAAAATCATCAAGCAAAGTTTGTAAAAAGGGAAAAAAAAAATGATAAAAAAAGTCATTAGCAAAGTTGGATTCTAACTGAAGAACCATAACTCCTGCAATTTTCACGAAAACCAAACAAATTTCTAACTTTTTAAAAAACTTGACCGATTCTTGTACAGTAATATTGTCTGAGCTAAGGAGAATCTTCACTCCTCCCCCAAACATTAGCTAGAATAGTAATAGAACAACTTTCCTTTTCCTTTTCTCTGTAACCAAACAATCAAAGAGCTAGAAAGAACAGACTACAAAAGTTTCAAGAAAAAGTGTACCTGCTTTGTCTTGGAGAATGGAAGCAACTATTAACTTGTAAGACATGCAATATCTTCTTGCCGGAGAATTAGAACCGTCTGGCCCTACTGCTGCTTGTTACATTTTTTTCAGTTAGCTTGTAGCTATCTGATGATCATGACCTAACTATAAGTTTTACAATTACAGGAGAATTAGTACATCTCTAAGCAATGTACTAAGAAATAAGATTTTCGGTGGCAAGTGCCAACCAGGGTGCATGAACCACTGGATGATTAAGATCAACGGTTAATGATTACATCAGACTTCTTGATTTGGATCGTTTCGGTAGCCCCTCGTTAATATTGATGAATCAAAACGGTTGCAAATTTACCGTGCAGTGGTAAGAATGTCAGCATATAATCACTCTTGTATTCTTGAGGTTTTAACCAATAGTTCACTAAGATTTTACCACCTTTGACCACTTTATTGACCCCTCACCTATTTTCCTTTCTTTAAAGATGGCCTCATTCTGTATCTCAGTAATTACTTGGAGCTTCAACGATACTAATTCGATCATCAATTCTTTACGAAATCATTATCTCTCTGAAGAAAATTATTTTGAAAATAATGAATTCTATGAATGAATCCTACAAAATTAATGGCGGAGATGTTTCCAATATTGAATTCGGAGAGAATCTTTTCGTAGAATTAACAGTAAGTATCATTGCAGCTTAAACGGGAGCATGCAACAGTTTTTCTTTTTTACTGTGTCCTTGAAACTGGACAGAGATTTATAAGCGAATTGGCTGAGGAATTTTCACACATCGCTAACCTGGGAAACGGAAGAGCAACATGTCTGACAAATTCTTCGATCGTAACAGAGGGCTAGTAGGTTCAAAAATCAACTTGTAAGGCTTTGTTTGTTCATGTGAAGTGGTATAATATAGTTGTATTTCACACCAATCATTTTTGATTAATTAATATTTATTGCAATTTTGCCTCAAAATTCTTTAAAAATAATTATAATTTATAGTTCTTTTTTAAAACATTATTTAAAAAATATATATAATTTATATTTTTTCTTAAACCCTATGTGTTTAAGATTGTGATATGTAATGTTTTTCAAAATAGTATTTTATTTAAAAATATATTAAAATAATTTTTTTAATTTTTGATAGTAATATATCAAAATTATCAGAAAAATACTAAAAAATATCAATTTAATATTTTTTTTAAACAAAAACATTTTTAAAAAACACTCAAAAACATATACACTCTCAAACACACCCTCAAGGTGTGTCAAAAGCAAGGTCCAAATGATCATGCCGATCGCAGGCATCATACGCTTGCAAATTTGGCTCTCGTGCAAAGATGCTTCACAGGTATTTCACACAAAACAAGAAGCATATTGATGTTGGGCAGATAGTTCACAAAAACCACCATGGTTCACCAGACGAATTTGATACCTAATTAGCATATCTATGGAAAATTTTCTGCCATAGTTTACACCATGGGGAGATGAGCTAAACACTTCGAGTTAACTTTCAGACCATATTATGATGCCAAACTCTCTCCTGACACGCAATGAAAACGCAAACTCCCAGCAAACAAGCAAGCAGTAGATGAATACAAGGCAGTGAATGATACTGCAAACCTGACAAGAAATTAGGCCTAAGATCTGATGTTCTGGTCCATTGATGCCAACTGCATTGGACAATATATTTACAGGCCTAATAAAGCCACAAAATTTTCTGTTCAAGCACCTAAACAGTTAAAGTTCTACAAATTTGCTTTGACATCAAACATACCACAAACGACAGCTACACATCACCCAAAAGAAGAGTTGCTTAATAAAGTTTACCAATCCAGAAATGACCAACCATCATATGTCTATCTAAGATGACATCTTATTGTTAAGGATGATTCATAAGTCCACCATCTTCAAGAACACGGAATAATGTAACTTTCAGCACCACATCCCTTGATTTCAGCAGCTCAAAGATACACACATCACCTTCCCCTAAGTTATTCTCCAATGTGAATTCATACCATCCCTGACTAAATTTAGCTCGGCCTCCCCTGTAAAGGCATCGAACAGGCCATTGTTTCCCATCAGGTAACTGAAGTATAATGAACCCTGAAACTCCATTTAGATTTTTCTCGGCAAAGCCAGATGGCAAATACTGCACAAAGAAAAGGCATTGCTTCTTTATGCAAAGCGAAGTACACTGTGAATTGCAAAATTAGCATAGCAGATCATTGTTAATAACTCACCATAATGCAACCCCTGTATAAGTACGATGGTCGCAGGACAACCCTACAGTAAGGATTATCAGGTGCATATGCTTTAGCTGCATTCATTGCTCTTTCTCGTTCTTCAGCAGTGACAGTTCTCTTTCTTGCAGAAGCACTTTCATAAAATCTAAAGCGCATTTCACTATCATCATCATGTGGAGACGACAGCTGCTGCTCATCTGCAGTTTCATTGAGTCACTAACAAAATGAGAACATTCTATCCTAATGGCATAGTAAGAAGAAAACAAAACCTGAGTTAAACAAACTCACTAGGATCGGCTTTCAGCCTTTTCCTTCCACGTTTTTTAGGTTTTGGTGTTTCTCCATCTGGACTGTAGAGTTTCACTTCATCTTGGGAATTATAGAGCTCATTGTAATGAGCACCTACATTCCGTGCTGATTCATTAGCAACTTGTGAAATGCTAGAACCCTTTGTCAACCGCATAGTATCTTCACCACTCCAGTTTATGCAATTATTAAGTTTTGATCCACTGAACAAATTCTGCAGAGGAGGAGGATTGTAACTTTTGTTAACTATCAGTTGTGGAGGGGGGATGCCCGAGTTTTCAGCATTCTCATCATTGTCCAATTCTTCAAATGCAAGATATCTTTTCCCACTAAGAGAGTTGGAGTGGTAATTTATCTCAGAAGTGGGCAAATTGAATATATGAACATTAAAAATTGCATTCCCTTCATATTGAAAGATCAAAAAGTATCCAATGTGTATAGCGAAGCGTTCCACAAATTGCTGCCAACCATCATGAAACCATAATTTTTCATCAGCTTTTATTAATCCTATGCGAGACACATGACCACCGGGAACAATGAGTCTCACAAAACTCGATATGTCATGTCCAAATTTCTTGACAAAATTATCTGGGATCCTCTGCAGAAAACCAAACCAAGTTAGGCTCTGTCTCTAAAAGGAGACTCAAATATTTTGTCCTCAAAATTTAGTGTTGCAGATGACAATGATGTGGATAAGCTCAACTCAATAAAAGATTTGCACAAGAAGTAAACGCATAAAGTTGGAACATCCCATTTCCTTATAGTACACAGCATCTCTAATACAAAATACAAAAAAAATAATCTCCAAGACAAGCAGGCTCAATATCTTAGAACACACAAACGTGAAGTTTGCTCTGTGAGCAAACAGTGAAGAAGATTATCAAGAGAACATATATCTCCAAATACCCAAATATGATGTTACATGATAAGTACTTTCATGAGCCATGCAAAACCACAAAGCAAAATATCAACTGCAGACTACAGTTGATTCTTGTGAACTAGTTGTTTTTGTTTTAATTGAACATGATTGTTATTCTCAACACCGCCACCTGTTTCCATATACGGTATATCCAAATGATCCTAACTATCAGGTATGGAAAGATATAGCATTGTTTAAATCTAAAGCACAACATACAACAGAACTTACAAGCTCAATGTCTAAATATCAAGAAAATAAAGGACATGAAGTATAGAAGTTTTAGTCTTTTTCTAGAGGACATTATTGGCAAGCTAAAGAAAGCTTTTCAAATCTCTAGAACAATTAAATGGCAAGGCAGATTCATTAAAAAAAATTCCATGCTTCATTTTTTTTCCAATCATACAAAGCAATGCAAGAATAGTGACAATCCAGTACATTAAAACAGATTTTGAAGTCGAATATTATCATGCTTTCTTTAATTTCCAAGAAATCCTGAGAAGATAAACTAAAACTTTTATGTTGTGGTGCAGCGGAATGTTATGTAATGCAAGGAGAAACTGTTACTTGTTTTCTTCTTCATCCATTGCATTGCATTATCGTAACATATCTGTAGCGGTAATCTAAAGCTTCTTTTTTTTGGCTATCTTTAATAGCTGTATCATAATATCTTAAGCTTTTGTTGTAAAAAATTGTCAACAAACCACAAACTAACCTAAACAAAATTCCATAAGCTGAACAAGAAAGGATTTCTTTCAACAATATCTAAGCAAGCATTTCTTTTCTCAGGCATAATTCCAATTCTGATTTTCCACTGAAATCTCAATTCTTAGTTCCTATAAAAAATTCAATTGATATTTTCCACGTAAAAATTCTTTCTGTACATTAAACAGAGAAAGAGGAAAATTGAAAATTTTGACGTTATCATGTTTTCAGTTCTCAACACCACAAGGCTGCCTAAAAAAGGAGAGAGAAAAAAGGAAAGGAAGAAAAGGGAGCAGCGTTATTAACTGAGCTAAACTAAAAAAAAAAAAAAAAAAAACTATGAAAGCATGAGGGTAGAAACCCAAATTCCAGTTGGCCTTCCTTCACTTAGTCCACTCCTAAGAAAAGAAAAGTTAGAATTCTTGTCAAAACCAAGAAGAAAAAAACACGAAAACAAAACAAAAAAGAAATAAAATCTAAAAAACTTTGACAAACCCCTTTCTCTCAGGTATCATTCTATTCAATCTCATCCACTAAAAGAAGGTTTGGGTTCTTATCATTTCACAATTAATCTCACAAAGATTCAAACTTTATGAAAACCAGGAAAAAAAAACACTACAAAAGAAGCATTGGATAAGCAAGAATCTAAACAGCTATGACAAACCCTTTAACTTAAAATCACTCCATCTAATCTCGTCCACTACAGCAAGTTTTGGATTGTCATCAATTTAGTTCATAAAGTTTCGAACTTTATCAAAACCCCGCATGCAAAACAATCAAAAGACGCAAAAATGCAAGTAAATTAAAAGAAAAAAAAAACAAATGGAGGGATAAGGAAAGATTTTTTTTGTACCAGTCTCTTTTCTCTGATGGTGCTAGAGAGAATTAGCTTCTGAAAAAAAGGTCTAGGCATTTCTCTTCTGGGGATTTTAAGTACTGTAGGACAGATGAAGTGAGGAGTGAGTCAATTTAGATCATAGTACACTAGAAAGATGAGTTTCTTTGATTTCAGATCTGCTGCTTCTCCACACAACACTAACTGATTGCTATTCAAATAGTGTTTTTCAAAATTAAGATTAAAACCTCAGAAAAATAACACAACTTGACCTAAAAGGTGAACGAGTTATGTGTTTTCTCAGTGACTCACTGTATGGAAGAGGTGTGACTCGGAGGGCTGACCCACATGTTAATTATAGGTTAATGTTTTCCTAGTTGTATTTTTCCTTTTTTGGACCATATGGGCCAATCATTAAAGTGTAGAGATTCTCTACTTTGTACTTTCCTGTACTTGCTTAAATCTCCACCGTCTGATCTTATTTAGAAATCTGTTGATACTTGAAGATCTTCAAAAAAAAAAAAAAAACCCAGCTGTTATGAATGACAGGCTGCTTAAACCCACTGATCATATCCATGGCAAAAACTAACCTGTTTTTTTAGTCAATTCAATAAAAATAAATGATTTAAAAAAAAATATCAACAGGTTATTCATAATTGGAGTTTCGTGTAATAATGTTAGTTGTTTCGTATTAAATAGACAACGAACCTCGCCATTTAAGTATACCTGCATGAGTTTTTTAATGATAATTTTTAATTATTTTTGCGTATTAAGACTAAAATTGTGCTGTGATGAGAAATATACTTAATTAACTAGTTATTTATAAGTTACAGACCAAAAAAAATTATTTTCCTAAACAATCACCCACGTAATATATTAATTTTTATTCCTTAAAAAACATAATTAATTTAGAAAACAGGGAAGGAAAAGACAGTTTACACTAATGACTCAACCACCGAGACCTATCCACCACCACCACCCCCACCTCCTTTGTCCTGGTGGAGGCCCTAAACAACTAATAAAAACACGGGATTGGCCACCTCGAGGAATCTTTGCATTTTTATTTTTTATATATCAACTACTGCATAAAAAAAAAGGGTATGAAAGCTTAGCAAGTTGGGTCCAGTGCAGAAATTTATTTTCAAGGATGGAGAAGAAGAGTCGTTTTCATATGGGTGAGAAAGAGGTAAAGTGACTCAGTTTGGATTTGAAGTTGACTCAGTGTGGAATCAACCACATAGGAAACTCCTCTATTTCAAGACAAGGTTTCTGTGCACGTGTCAATCAAGGGTGAGTAGGGGACCATCATAGGTACATCACCTTCTTGGCTGTTGCAAGTGTTGGAGAGAGTTCAGCTCTGTTCCTTGTGGGCATGTTGCTGGAGAATAGTTGCCTTGCATTAATTAACCTCGAAGATATTGTTTGCCTGATAATCAATTTTATTTTTATTTTTTCTTTATAATCTAATTCTCAATTTTGTTTTCCAGCACTCATATAAGATGCCCGGTGTTTTAATAATACCAAGAAATCAATATCACTTGAGTTAGAAACATATTGATGTGATTTCTTATTTGATTTCCAACTATATTAATTGCAAATAATCTTATTATACAAAACATTAAAATATATATTCGAGGTGAAAATTACTAATTAGGGAACCATCTTGGTTTTTTTTTTATTGAGTCTTTTTACTTTTTTATTTATCAAACTCCAACTTTTTTCTTCATTATCATCATTTTCTATTAGATTTTTTTTTACTTTTTATTTGATAATTGTAATGTAATTATGTAAAATTAATATTTAATAACTCACGAAGTAATATTTAAAATCATCAACACGCTGTTTTTGCTATGTTCAAATCAATATGGTCTCAATTGCATGAGAAAGCAACACGAAGTTGACTGGTTTTGCTTTCAATGGGACTTGATTTTATCTCACTAGCTGGTGTCGACGGATTTGACAAATCGAAAGTTGATTTTTACAGATCTTGTGTTTGGTTAATATCTTAAAATAGAAAAAAAAATTAAAAAAAAAAAACGTGTTTGTTACAGAAATAGACAATACATAAAATAAAATTTGAAGTACATTTATATTTTTTCAAAACATTAATGATGAAAAAAACAAGTCTTTTTATCCCAGATGTGTTCGTCTCTTTTCTATCACTATCTCGATACGGTAAATAAAAAAAACTACCTTAGATACTCCTACTCGTGTCATCCTCCATAGTAACCATCTTGAATCCCACTTTTTTGTTCTTTTCTTTTCCCCTTTTTTTTTTTTTCATCTTGAATCCCACTTTTATGTGAGCGAATGAACAACCCCTCTGAAAGTGTAAGATGCGATTAATCATATGCAGAACAGTTTCTGAAAGATAATACACTACAGTAAGGATATGAATTGATTTTCTGCACTAAACGATTTCGGTTTCACTTGCTGGAATTGCCACATAACATGACACGCTAGTTCATCGGATTTGTTGTCAAGACTTTCAGGGCATCTCAAAGTGAATGATCATTCATTTCCATTAGCACTTGGTAGACCATCACTGGCAGAAGATGGACTTGCACAGAATGAGATGCTAATTCGCAGCATAGCATCACCATTCCAAATGTTCAACAAAAGGTTACAGATTTGCCAAATCGGTCAACAAAAGCTAGAAAGTTCACAAAAATGTATACATACTGCTTCCTTTGTATACAAAGCCATAGGAATTTCATCTTCAAAAGAAGTTTCATTCTGCTAGGTCTTCTAGTAGTAACTACACTGGGACAAAAGCTGATTCCACTTATATCTTGAGACAATCTATATCTTTGAATCGCCAACTTCCTGCACCGCAAGGGTTTCGTTCCTTTCCTTCAACTTGTTATCATTATTGACAGTGTTATCACCATCAGCATCCTCATATCCATCACTGCTACCATCAGAGCTGTTCACTTGCTTTTCCTCTTCTTCATAGCCATCAGGATGAGGATTGGGACATTCATTAAGAATGGGGACTTCAATTATGTTTGAAAGGCGGTGCTCATCTGCATTCACAGATTCATTGCAGGTGACAGGTCGTGATCCTTCATCTGCTGAGGACAGTTCTCCCTCTTCAGAGACCAAACTTTCAGCACCAGAGTCTTCCGAGTGTGTTTGAGCTCGACGTGTTTGAATGAGATAGTGTGCAACTGATTTAAAGCCAAGGCTTATAACCTGAAAGCAAATCAAAGTAAACCACTGCATCTTCCATTGGCCTAATAGTTCTTCTGTTGCCAAGCACAGAGGTAATATTCATTGCAGAAGGTTATTGACATCACCATAAAGAAGGTTATTGACATCACCATAAACCAAATATGGATGCCAAGCACATGAAATTGTGCACCTGTCTGAGATGGCATTACGTTTTGCAATTATAAAACTAAGAAATTGAACAGCTGAAAAGGTAAGATGCACCGTCAAAAAAATAAAGAATTAACCTGCACAGATCAGGGTTGTGGAGGAACAGTAGCTAAACAACAAGAATGACTTCTATGGACACGAGATTAATGGTATTAACCTTTCGATAGAGATTCCCAGTGGGTGCCCATCCTTTTGCATGCCGGCAAAGACTACAGTTACAAATTCCTCGACAAACAGGGCAAATCCAACTTGGATTTTGGTTGACTTCAATCACATTCTCTCCATATCTGTAAAACATGAAAAAGAGAAAATTGAATGGTCATCTATGAGCCCAATTCAGGAATTCATACTCATGATATAGAAACACATTAATAATCATATGGATTACATGTTACAGAACTTAGAAGTGGATGGAAATAAAAGGAAACTTCGATAACCTTAATCCAAGCCAAATCATTTCATCGCCAATATTTGCGTACACAACAGTATTTTTCTCATACTTTCTTTATTTCTTTGAAGAATAAAATGGGATTTTCAAATATGGTGTTGAGGATATAATGTCTTATTTTTTAGGAAAGTGTTAATATGATCAGCGCAAACTCTCAAATATCAATAAATACCTCATGAACAAGCAATCTCCACAAAACTGTCCCTGGACCAAGTTGCATTTGCTGCAATGGGTATGGAGACCAAGAGTTTTCTGCCTGCAAGAAAGTAGATCATCTCTAAGCAAAATGATGGCATTGCTTCAGTGAACTAAGCGGGGGAGGAGGGGATATACAAGCATCTTCTCGAGCAAGGCACCATCCTTGAGTGCTAACAAATTGAATTTCTATTTCATGTTAAGTGGATAAAATTGACAAATTTTATATTCACAATAATGTAACTAAATTGTGTACAGTGAGTTTTAGAGCAGTTATCGTATGCCATTCTTTTCTTGGAGTATTGATGAGTTGCGAAAGCTGGGATTCAAACCCCAGTTCTGTCCTCTCTTGCTTTAAAAGCGTAGCAGTGAGCTACAAGCCCATTGGTTTTCCATGCCACATGCATAATCTTTTTTCATCATTTGCCTCGAGCAAACGGTGAAGACAAATGGATGAAAGGCATGGAAGTAAAATGATAACGACATGAGGAAAGCATTAAGTTTATACTAACACTCTGCAGTGTGTACAACTTAAAAAAAGGAAAGAAGCAATCACCTGCATTGATGGCATGTTTCTCCCATCTCTGGATCATAGACGCGCCTCCCATCCTTGCCACATCCATCCACATTCAGAGTCCAGGTAGTCTTATGGTCACCCAAAAGATTCTCATCTTCTTCTGTGTATATTTCTGGCTGTGAACCTTCTCGTAATTGAATCTCTACATCCATAGAGGTCTCCTTTCTTGTAGGCCGTATCTCCATGTAATTAATTGGATCCATGATTTTCAACCTTGAAAAAAACACCAGACAAGATAATAACATATTCACAAGCGTAAGGTTAGACTTAAAACAGGGAAGAAACAATCGAGGCCCAAATACTCAGGATACAACATAAGGTTAGACACCAGAAGTTTTCATTTTCCAGCGCAATTGAGTTATTTCTTTCCTGGCAAACGAAAAACAACAAAAAAAATTCTATTCACTTAATTGTCTTAAGTCACAAGTTTTTGAGACCTAAGTTTGCTAGAACCGTTTGTTGAGTTCCTCTCTCTTGCTTTCTTTTCTAGAAAGTTTAAAGTTTCCCCTATAATTTGTAGCGGTAACCTTATTTTAAACAAACAAGAGTACAGGACATTCGGAATTCTTTTTCTACTCATGCCTTAATACCTCCAAATTGCAGACAACCAAAAATTGGAAAATGGGGCCTTGCATTCTGTGAGTTTGAAAGTTGGTAATCCCAAATTATATCCAATTCATCTTCAAAAACACAGATTATAAAAGCAAGGCACAGAAAAACTGCTCTTTCCTTTGCTTAACT